TGGAAAATTAAAATTCTTACCTTTAAAAAAGTTCAATATGCGTATGTGCATCACACGCATCCTACGCAGTTTTGGAATACTACCAACTTAATAATTAAACGCAAGCAGTGTCAGTAACGTTAATAATAATTTATATTGCTATATTAAATTGCTCTCTCAACAAAATATTTGACCAAACAAGGTAATACAAAAAGATTTCAAAATACTATTGCAAGCATGAGGAAAAATTATGAAATTTTGTCTGGAGAGCAGGGAAAATGGTATTTTAGGATGAGGAATTTGCGACATCCTTGATTGTGCTAATTTTTTTATTTCATAAAAGTAAAAAGAATCTCAAGAATAATTGAGTTCGCAATGACGAGACCCTGACATGCATTCACACGTCTGGATTAGGCTATCGTCCTTGGGTCCTGTCATAAAAATAGAATGTCCGGATAGCACGCACGAGAGATGTAATACGGCGGTTTTACCACTCTTAAAGACAATTCTGAGGACGAGCGTATTTCCATAATATTATACACCGACGACACTTAAGGTCAGTAAGTAATCGTTGCTGTGGCGATGCACGTGCTGTTACGTTGTGCTGCGCATGCAAAAAAAAAAAGATAGATGTGACGTCTGAACTATTTTATATAGATACGAAAACACCTGGTGAATCCTGTCAATATTTTATTATGCTTTTATGTATAGGAAACAATACATTAACCGATTCATCCGCAATTATGGTCAGGCAAATCCCGCGCGCAATAAAAAAAAAAAAGTTGCAAAACATCATTTTTCCCCGCAACGTACAAAGTCGGCGTCAATTGCAAAATAAACCAGCGAACGATTCACACTTGTGTCATAACACCGCGGCACGTGTATGCACGCGAGTTGGTGTGCATTTAAAACGTTTGCGCAATCGTTGAGCGTGCATTGTAGGCGAGACGCGAGTTAAGGAGAAGGCGAAGTCGCGGATTGCTTTAAGGCTTAAGGCGTATCGATGCGAGAACGAGACACGCATGTACGTTGCACCGCCGCCGCCGCCGCCGCCGCCGCCGCGTCGGTTGCGTTCCGTGAAATCGAGACGGAACGGGAAATGAGTTAAGCGTCGATTACACGAGTGGACAGTCTTATGCTCGCAAGGTGATTACGAGGTGGCCGTTGCTGCGCGTCGCGTAACGCAATACTCGAGTACATGACATTTCCTAGTGAAACTCGCGCGCGTTTGTTTTCGCCAATTAATTACGCGCTAAACGCGCACGAGATTTTCACTGCTGGATTAATTTACATATTCCAAGCGCGCGGCGCCACGTTTTACTCACGTGAATATAAATTATCGATTTAGAGCTCATTTTCTGTTGCGTTATCGTTAATAATGTATTGTTCGGTTTATCTTAGTGCATCGATCGCTCGATTATTAAGTCGACTGTAATTGAAAACGTGTAAACATAAATAACTTCAATTTCCAGACGTAACATTGGATCGGGTTTACAACGCCTAATTTCGTACGTTGTAATTTCACGCCACGTTGAAGTAGATTTGGATTCGCAGTGGAGTATCGCAACGAGGTCTTATCTGTTAAACGTTATCCTATTCGATCTAACGAAAATGCTGTAAAATAATATACTTTGAAGCACCGCGTTCGATATCGCTTCTTCGTTTCCTCTCTCATTGTGTTTTATTTTTATCGATATATTGTTCATTTGCTGTAACAACATAATTCAAAAATTATTATTTTCAAGTTGTAATAAAATAACTTAAAGAAAAAAAGAAAAATACAGTACACGCTTTTATTCCTCTATAATTAATTATTACATCGAAACTACATTCCAAAATTATTACAAAATTTTAATGATCCCAAATCATTTTCTAGAAAACTTTGTTTTTTTGAGTTGTGCCGTCAATGCAAATGAGCAATATCGCTCATTACTCGTTGTAATTAATTTCTACTCAGAAACAATTTCTACATGATTTTCTCGAAAATATTATATATTTAATAATTATTTAGAAATTTGGCTAAATATAAATTTGAAAATAACTTTGTCGTATCATCAAAATAATTACGTAAAATATGTATGATAATGAAAACGCTGCAACAAGTTTCAACGTTTTAGCAACCAGTTTGACCGTTCTACATTGAGATTGTCACAAATTTCTCTCCTGTAATTCCACTTCTCCCTGATTTCCAAAATTTCATGATTTCCTTGACTTAAATAATGTTCAAAAATTTTTTTTGTATTTTCGTCCAGATTTGGAAATCGTTAAATATTTTATTAAAAATTCAATTTAACATGGCAAAATTGTATAGGTATGTATACTAAACTCCTTTAAAGCCAAGAATTTTAAAAATTTTGCAAAATTCCTTGATTTTTTTCTTGATTTCTCTAACCGTTTTCCAATTTCCTGACAATTCCTTCATTTTCCTTTTGTCGCAACCTTACTACACAATTATTTTCATAATTCAACAAAATTATTTTCAAATCTATATCTGGCTAAATTTTCAGATATTTCAATAAAATCGTTCTTCCCAGATAATATCGTATAATACATATGTACATATATTCCTCATAGTTTTTCTCCTATTACTCTAAACGCCTCGCACTTTCTCTAAGCACAAGGCACAATTCTATGCCAGCCTTTCTGCCACAAGTTGACCCCGCCGAATTACCTCCGATATCGCTGTCATTCTCCATGGAAAATGGCACGATGTAGGTCGTTCGTTCATATATTGTCTCGTCGGTCGTCTGCGTGATCGGATCCGCCGTGGCAACGAGGAGTCTCAAGATCAGGGCTAGCGACGCCGCCAGTTGAGCGGCACTGGCCACGTTGGCCCACGACATTTCTTCTTCTTTCTTCCTTTCTTCGCACGCTGCAGCTGTAGAATGTCGTGTGCTCTCTCTCTCTCTCTCTCTCTTCCTTTTACTCTTGCTTCAAATCTCTTTTTCTTTCTCTCTCTCTTGCTATTTCACGAATTCACCCATCTTCGCCGAGGAACACGGCGCGTTCCTCTCGCGACACGTCTTCGCTCAATTATCGCACTGTCTTTGTCGCAACGGCTGTCCAAGAGCAGAGCGCACAACGACGCATTGTCAACGACACATCAATCGATTCGTTGTCACTGTCACATCGCGGGCGCAAAAGGTTCCTCGGGTTATTGGACGACGAATCAACACCTTTCGGCGAGAATCGTCGCGGCGTGATTTCACGACGGTAGATTTCAGAATAAGTACTTCCTGTTGAGAACAAACAACCTCGCATAAGTCCCGAGACGATTCTATCGCGAGCGCGAGCTTCTCGTGAATCGGCCCGATGCGGTGCGGCGACTCGCGCGAAAGGGAGACACCCAAGTGAGAAATCCCGGTGGAGCCCGTGCACGGCGAATGCGGAAATCGCACTATCTACAAAACGCGAGAGAGTTCCATGAGGTCATACCTCGACTCGTATCTACCACCAGACTCAGAAAGGTCGAATCGAAAGCGGTTGACACCGATAGCGCTAACTTGTGCGCATCTATTCACACCGATAAGACTTGTATATTGCTTTATCAATATTTAAACTACTCCGGTAGCGATAGCAATCGCTTTAGCGTTGCAGATAAAGGCTCAAAAAGTAGATCTCTAGGAAAGTAACTGAAGTATTATTACAAATACCGATCGTGTTTCTAAGTATTCGTCATCAAACGCATGATCGTGTATCACGAGGGAAGATCGCAGGCAGCAGCGGATTATTCGGCCCCCTTGGAACGTTGTAGAGTCACTTCCCCTTGCATTTTTAGTGGGATAGAGACTAGGGGAATAGGCATTCTAAACAACGATGGTCAGTATCGATATATTGTTTTGTCAACCAATCTATTAAGCACAGAAATATATCAGTTTATTGCTAAGAAAAGTGATTACTGAATTTACCTTCTTCCTTTTAAATAACGGTTGTTTTTAACAAAGAATATTTTCTTGACGATAGTCATAAAATATGCTTATGATAAATTTTAGAAGAATTCATTAATGTGTACTAAAAACAAGAATTTATTTTCTTTGGAAGAATTTTATAAAATTGATCAAGAAGAAATGACACTTTATAAATAAAATATCATTTATATAAAAAAATCGAATTTGTTTTGATTAAATAATCGTCATTGAAGTAATTAAACTTACTAGAATTTACACAAAATTTATTTTGAATAAATTTGGTGCTTGATAAACTTATGATAGATTTTACGGATACATGAACTCTTTTCTTGACACAAGTATAATAATTATTATTTATGTACAATATGTATTTTTCTTGTGTATACTGAAAAAAAATGTATATTCCATTTTAATAAATATTTATTATTAGGTGTTGGAATTAATTCGTAGCGTTTTTAATGAAAGAATGTTATTTATTTCACATGAGCATTAAAAAATACATTAATGAAAGTACTTCCCATCATTTGTAAAACGCTACGAATTAATTCCAACACCTAATATAACTAAATATTCAATTAAATATTCAACTAAATATTTATTAAAATTGACTATATTTTTTTCTCAGTATACAAATATAATATTAGATAGAAGTAAAAAAAAGCAGAAAATATAATTGCAATTATATTTTCATTAAAAGTTAGGACAAATTTTATCGAAACCAATTTTTTTCTCAAAATTAACTGAACATTTTTGTTTATTATATCTTTATTATAATATCTATACGATATAGATCATTTCAGCAACATTGTAGTAACACTGTAACGTTTTTGAAATATTGAAGCAACATTGCAACAATTGCTGCAAGCTTCTGTGTTATATGGGTAACTTTCAACATAAAAATTTTGTTATAATTGTTGTGCATCAAAATTTTTACTAAAAAATTGAAATTAAAGGATGAATTTTTCAAGTATTCGCATTTGTAAAGATTATAATTCGTGACGTAGATTATTTCTTAACCACTTAGAACAAAAGTCTCAGACTCATATCATTACAGGGGAACTGATCTCTAAATAAGATCTCAACACAATATAGAAAGTTCGTGCACGTACAAGCTTTTCCTCCCGTACGTCCTTTCAATTTTCGATCAACGAAGAGAAGATACTTTTGAAGCGACGAGAGTAAATTTTCCTGATATAATGCGAACAATTAAACATCAGTCGCAGGAGAAACTGAGTTTGCCAGGTTAAATGGATAAAGAAGCAAATTATAGGACGGCCAATAACAATAGCGCTTCCTCGTCAATAGAAAGGAAGAGAAAGACAGAAATAGAGAGAGAGAGAGAGAGGGGGGGGGGGGCAAGATACCCCTCGCACAAAGAGAATCGCGCTCCAGTTTCATATTCCATTTACTGCCTAATTGGCTCGGAATAGATAAATAATTGCAAGAGCTTCGAAATAATGCCGACCAATAACGCGATACGCGTTATTTCGCGACAATATAAACTTTTTATTTCAATGAAGAAGAATCGCGCATGCGACCACATATAACGACGGCTTACAATTGGCTCATAAAGGAATAATGACGTTTCGTTAAAGTTCTTTTTATACGAAACATAAAAGATGTATGTTGCACGCTTCGCATTGAAACAGTAATTAAAATATGATATTTCCTTTATTGCGTTTACGATTGAAGTTATTGTAATTAAAATAGCGGACTATGTGTGCGTCAAACATGTTGAATATTTGTTAGCGAGAACATTTGAAAACTTCGGTCCTCCGCGAGAAAGGGCGATGTAAAGCGGATGAGACTAATCCACGATTCCCACGTCAATTCGCTTGCACGAGTTTTTATTTCACAGTGAGACGGAACCCTGCATAATCGTCCAAATGAGAGAGAGAGAGAGAGAGAGAGAGAGAGAGAGAGAAAAAACCGGGACCGCGCCCCATTTCGTGACTCGTCTACATTTGGCCGGCGCGAAACAAAATGTCTCACAATGATGCACTATCGAAAATTACCCGGAAGAAGACGAAGGAGGAGACAATAATGATTGAGTGAAATCAGTACATTTGGCCCTTTATGAATTTCGTAATGTAATCAAGTCCCGCATTTTCCGAAAGCATAATCTTTATGGCGTATCTTCAATCAGGATAAGGAGAGAATTGGAGAGAAACGTCGATGGATTGCATGTCGCACGCGGATGCTACGATGAACGCGCCACGGACTATTCATGAGGAACGTCAGGTCGAAATTGGGACAGCCCGAGAGTTCGTGATTCGAAACGGCAGTGAGGAATGGATTGACCCCGATCGCACGAGAGCGATTTTTGCGCGAGAGAAGCACCGGAGCGTGCGTCGACCCTGCGCCAATCTGTCGGTTGCCGTATACTTCCTTCCCCGACGATTCTGTTGAAGTATTTCAAAATTTCGCTGCACGAAAAGAACGATTCTAATGAAATTTAATGAAATATCTAAACACTTGATTAGCTACAGATCAGAAAATAATTTTGTAGAAATATCAAGCATATTTAATAATGATGTACAAAATTGTGATGTTCTAGTTACCAGTCTGAGCGTCTTCACATCATTACTTTGATCCAACAAAATTATTTTTGGATTTGTACTTACAATTAGTTAAAATTGTAAATATAATATACTTGAGCAAAACTATTTTCGTGTAGGTATACTGAAAGAAAAGATTGGTTAAATATAGTATAGCATTCTTAATTGGGTGCAGCATCCAATTAAAAATAGTGTGCCATATTTTACCATCTAAATTGCTGTAGCAGCCAATCTTCTCTTTTAATATACAGATCTGAAAAGAATTTTGTTTGGACCAAAATAATTAGGACGCTCAAACTGCATTGTTAAATTTATTAATGTTAAATTATACCCAATTTGAGTTACTTTAACCATTTTTGTCGGTCGCTACTATCATTTAATACGTCGTTAATTTTATTGAAATGATGGAATTAAACAATTTCACTGAAGAAAATTATTAAATTTGATTCAAATTTAATCGATTACTTCCTAAGTACATTAATATGGACGATTTTTACTCTGGAAATGTGGAGTTTAAAAATAAAAAAAATGTTATTTAATTTAAAGAGTTATCATTGTTGCTTTGATATTTAGCATAGTTAAAATATCAAAACTTTTCGCAGTGTTAGTCAACATACTTGAGATTCCTACACTGAAAAAAGAGTTTAGTAATAACACTAAATGTTTAGTGAAACAAGGTCAATTAAATTAATTAACATAACTAAAAATTATTTTACTTTCCTAAATATTTAGTAGGTATTATCAAAATTTAGAAAAATAAAATAATTTTTGTTTATATTAACTAAAATTTGGTAACTATTATCAAACCTTTTCAATGTATGTGATCTATCAAAATTATTTTTCAATCTATATCTAGCCAAAATTTTGACTAAATTCTTCAAACAAAATCGTTCCTTTCGTTTCTTTTCCTAGGGCGCGTTCACCACCTGAGTGCTCTGTATCTTTTTATTCTTTTTTAGTCCAGTGAACAAGAATGAAATAAATCTGAGTGGCACTCAGGAAATCTGAACATAGCCCTACGCGTTTCCGTGATGTGGTCGCAGCGGATGCACCAAGTTCTACCTCGCAACGACGACCGAGTCCGTCAATGTCGCTTCGTCAACGTTGTCGTCGTCGTCGCCGTCGCCGAGCGTCGCCACACCGCGTCGCGCCGCATCGAGACAGAATCGTTCGATTCTACTATATTTCCTCTCGAATCAAACCGGAAGTTAGAGAGACGACGTGATTCTCTCCGTTTCTTGTATTATTCAACACTATTTGCAATCTACTCTATTTTTTTTTAGAATCACTGCCGTAGCGACGCTTTTATTATTCAATGACATTTATTGTCTAGTTGAAAATTTACGATTTTTTTTGTGATAACTAAAATCTTACTTGTAAAAGCAGAACATTCCGATAGTTAGACTTTCTTGTGCCAAGTATGAACAAAGTAAGTTAAACGTTGTCACAGATGTGTCATTGAAATTTATCAATATTTCTCGTTAATCAAAGTGACTCATATACATGTATAATAGTATTACTTGTTTTCTTCTTTCACCTTGGGAATATAAAGGAAAATGAACAGTGTCAATAAAATCTATTGAAGCTTGCTATAATCGAAAAGAGTTGCAATAGAAATTTCTCACGTCGAATATAAAAGGACTGAAAGCTAAGCGACGAAGAAAAGCTATGGATTCAGTTCCCATTTTCACTTTAGTGATATCTGTCGTCTCATTGAAACCGATTAATACTTTTCGATAATCAAAATCACTCGTAAAATCGCGTCGTCCACGACGATGATTCACGCTTAAGTCAACGCACTGGAAAGCAAAGTTGTAGGAAAAAAAAATAGAAAGAAAGAATATAACAAGTGTTATTTTTCTACACAATGAATACATTCCTCCATCGATTAATCAACTTCTTCCTCCTCTCCCGTTTCCCTTTCAAGTATTCGCTCGCGTCATTCCCAAAGTACGAGGACATGAAAGGATCCCAAGGATTTTTTCCCGAAGGACACAGCGGTTCGGTTTCGTACTTCCTGCACCTGCCTGACGCACTGGAGAGACCTGACGAATCGAACGAGAGACGATTCGGAGAGAAAAAGAAAAAACACGGAAAAAGATGTAAAGAGGTACGCGGAAAGTTATAGCGTGGCCTGTCGCGAAGTACGGAGGATATTACGGATTCGCCGCACCAGTTACATTTTGGCACTGCTCTACATGCACATCTCTCGCTTACGCTCGCGTCGTATCGACCCCTCGACCTCGTCGTCTCTGCCCACTCCGAAATACGAAATCCAATTCGGAGCAGCGGGACTCTCCGATCGAAGAGCGGCTCCCGGCGACTCGTGCGGCCCGAACAAAGGATCACACCCAGGCAGGCGAGCGACGACCTGCCCGCGATATATCCTTACGATTTCACGGACTAGGCGTCAACCAGCGATTCGGAGGAGGCGTCGTCGGAATCGACGGTCCGCCGCCATCTCGGCGAGCTCGCACTGTCTCTCTTTCTCTCCTCTCTCTCTCTCTCTCTCTCTCTCTCTCTCTCTCCCTTCCTCTCTTTCTTTACCAGCGGGACAGCCTTTCTCTCGGTCGCGATTTTTTTTCGCACTCGGCGATTCCGCGAGCCGCACCAACCGCAAATCGACGAGGAAACGCACGCGACTCGAGATTATTTCAACACAAAAGCGAGCACTCACACCGGAATGACGCGGGTACTGTCAACCGCGCGCGTGAGCGCGACGCGTGCACGCCAACGACTACACGCGCACTCCCGCTGCATCGAGGTTGCGCTCACTTCGAATTACGCTCGTTCACCGTTCACGCACTCACGCGCGTACACGCGCCCGCCCGCCCGCGCCCGCGAGCTCGAAGCCGCAGCTCGTGCATCGTTGCGGGTCCCTCTCGTATCCGGCGCACCACCGGGGGGAGGGTACTGTACGAGATCAAAGCGTGAATCTCACACTCTTCTTTGTGAAATATTTATATCGAAATTTCTATTTTTTTCGAGGAACACTCGTTGCACCCACTCGCTCCGTACGCTCCGTCCCGCGTACAACGTTTTTTCTTTTGTCTCTTCTCTAAGTGAATTTTCAACCAGCAATGGGTCACGGTACCATGAATATCCAATGATCCCAGAATCAAAGTCAAGCCTCCACGGAGACATGAAGGCACCACTTTTTAGCCTGACAACGTTGCACGCGGTCGAGAGACCCGAGATACACGTGCGGACGCCCGACGCGGACTCGATTGGACTCGATACTCCGTTTCTCGATTCTCGTCAGTTCTCGTTGTCGGATCCCGGCTGACGACGACGACTCACGGCGGGGGGGCGGGCGGGGCCGGGGAGGACGGCCGGCGACGGCGACGAGCAGACCGGCTGCTGGCGTGCCGATGCAGCGTGCTCGCCGCGGCCGACTCGAGCGGGCACTTCTCCTTTCTCTCTCTCTCTCTCTCTCTCTTTCACTTGACTGCCGCGTGCTCAGTGCTGAAAAATCGGGGAAAATCGATTGTCGAGACCAGGCGCGGCGTCGACCGAAACGCCGTAGCAGCTGCTCCTGCTTTCTCTCTCTCTTTCTTTCTCCTCTCCTCTCCTCTCCCTCTCTCTCTCTTCTCCAATCTCTCTCCTCGTCTCCTCTCGGTCTCTCTCTGCAGTCGGCTTCCTCTGTCGCACAGTCACCGGCTGTCACGATCCCCACTTCTTCTCCTTCCTCCCGTCCGTTCCGCATCTCTCTCGCACGAATGAGATCCTCTCTTTCTCTCTTGGACCTTTGAATCAGCTGCCTCTGGCCTCTTTCTTTATCTCCTGTTTTCCTTTCCCTCTCTCTCTCTCTCTCTCTCTCTCTTTCTCTTTCTCTCTTTCGCTCCTTCTCATTCTCATTAGTAAGCTTATAAAATTAAGTCTCGTTGGAAACTCCTTAATAAGTTAGCAGAATAAACTCTTTATAAAAATACTAAATTTCTATTGAATGTCGAGAAACGTTTCTGTGAATGAGAAATTCTCAAGCACATACTCGCGATGATTCTAGCAGTCTAGATTATAGGAATATTCCCTTCGGAAATGGAGCACTCCCGACGTTCGAGAAGAATTTCTATCGTAGACGAGAATGCAGCGGCAGGTGGAAAGTTGGCGGTAGATGACGATCATCGCAGAGCGATGACGATGATTCAGGATGCAACGATGAAAACGTTGAATCACCAGCAGCAGATTTAAACAGGCTATATAATGTATTCTAAATGCGTTAGAAACAAGGAATGAAACTTCACTCTGTGCAGAATGAATTCTGTGCTTGACGATCCTTTTTCCTCGGAGAAAATGATTTCAAAATTCCATCTTAACATTTCAATTACAAACGATAAATATTTGGATAGATACGTTCGTAATCCCGTACGAATTGCCGCGATGCGATAAGAGAGATCCCGAAGTCTAAGTCTAGCCGAGGGCAATGCGAGCTCTCTGCTTAATAATTAACACAAATGTTAATACAAACGATATTGTGAACAAGCAAACATTCACCTTCGTAACTACGTAGAACTCTCGTATTGCAGCTGCAGCTAAACCAGCTTTCCGTTGAATACCTTGTTACGAACGATACCCGCGTTCTGCTTTACCGTGCTTGGGTATATACGGTATTCTATATCTGCTTTATACTCGGAGAGAATTTCCTAATTTAATTTCGTACTCGGATTTATCGTTCCAATTTCTGCCAAGTCTCATGGAAAATCATGCGATGATAGCTCACGATTTTTTACCTTCCCCTCCCCCCCCCTCCCCTCGCCTCTTACTTACCTCCTTCGTCAGTCATCACCGTCACGGTCGACGCAGGTCCGTGACCCTCGGGGTTGAATACCTGCAGAGAGACGAGGTACTGCGTGAAGGTATCCAAATTGTGAATACTGTGATTCTGAAAAAGAATAGACATATTTTTTTTTTTTTCTTTTTTTTATTTTCGTTATCTTCTCACCTAACAAATGGCGTACTAAGATGAAGCGTTCGCGCTACTTACGTCAACAGCAGGATCACGAATGTAAACGTTTTTCATTTCTTCATCCGCTTTCTCGCGTCGCCGGTATCCGATGCGATACCCAAGGAACTCGCCGTGTATGGTGTCGCGACTCGGTGGCTTCCACGCCAGATAAATAGACGTCGCTGAGGTATTGTGTGCCGCCGTGATGGTTGGTTTTCCTTCTGGTACTGTAAATAATCATATATATTGTACGTAAATCCTTCCAATCCTAAACTTTAAGGGGGGAGGAAAACGGGATCCCAAAAATAGAGACGAGAGAAAAGCTAATCCTGAAAAAGTACATTGCGCGCTCGAAAGAGAAAAGTATTACGTCCGCGTTTATGAATGCAATACGTATCTCGTTACACGAGGAAATTCGCGCGACTTCGAGTGGCCAAAGCTCATCTAAATATCGTGTATGTTTATTCCATGCGAGAACAGATTGTTTTATCCCTACGGGAAATCTCGATGAAGCTCCGCGGTTCTCTCTCTTCTTGTTCTTTTCTCTCTCTCTCTCTCTCTCTCTCTCTCTCTCTCTCTCTCTGTCTTTAGAATATTATTATTTCTGTTATTTTCACTAATATCTATAGTTCTTCATTTTATTCCTATAATGTATTATTTTTGTTAGTTTGTATTATTTTTATTATTATTCTTTATTTGCAGCTCTTCATTTTTATTTGTAACGTATATTATATTTTCTATTTTTTATGTTTTTTTTTTATACGTTTGTTGCGTTGCTCTCTGCTTTACCTTGTATTTAAAATTTTTAAAGAGGCTCTTTTGCTCTAGAACTAAATTAATCAATCAATCAATTAATCAATCAATTTCTCTCTCTCTCTCTCTAAAGTATTATTATTTTTGTTTCTTTTGTTTATTATTTTCATTATTACTCCTTATTATCTGTAGCTCTTCATTTTATTTAAAATGTATTATATCTTCTATTTCTTTATATTTTCTTTTGTTTTGTGCTTTTGTTTTTGATTACTGTCTGTTTTGTCTTAAAGTTCTTAGAAGGCTTGTCCTAAAACTAAAATAAACGCTCAATCAATCAATCAATCGATCAATTTTTCTCTCTTTTTCTTCCTTTCTTATCAAAACATTTTAATTTAACGTTAAATATTATACACTATAGAAATCCATCAGTTGAAAAAAAACCTGATTCTATAGAACAAAGCGATATGATATACCGTAAAAAATAATATTTAAAGTTGCTGCGGAACGCAACGTTCGATGGCCGGAAATCGATAGTTGTGATTGCGTCGAATACGAATAAATATTAAACTCTCCTGCCCCCTCCTCCCCCCCTCCCCCCGCTCCTCCCCTTTCCGGGTGAACAGAGAAAAATTAAAACGTAATATTTAATCGACAATCATGGATATAAATTTTCAAACTCTTGGAAATTTCAAGTTTTCCCCATGTTTATGGAGGAGCGCGATATAAAATTTTGCCATTCGTACGTGTTGTTGACGCACGCGCGAATGTATTTTACGCTCGACATAGAATGTATATTTCCGACGAAATCATTCGATCTATGTTAACAATATCTCTTTATATACATACGCGCCATCGTTTACCAGCATACGTACCGTTTATTGATCTCCCTCCCTCGTGGAATTGTTTTCGAAATCGGACATTTTTAATTCCGCGTTTCCGCGCGCATATGAACCGCATCTAAATCCGCATATCGCAATCCACATACGCGCGGTAAATTGATATCTTTTTCCATGTCGTTACATGTAGAAAAATGAGTCGATGGAAGCGACCGAATTTTTTCGCACCCCCCCCCCCCAAAAAAAAAAAATACATATTCGTTCCACCGTGAATTTTTGCCGTTATTAAATATCGTTTTCTTCGCGCGCGACGCGT